TGTAACGACGATACAAAAGTCCCATTCTCCAAAAAAAAAAAAGTGAAAACCAACAACGAGCAATGTGAGTAAGTTCGGAGACTTTTTTTTTTTTTTTTTTTTTTAAAAATACACATGACAATATTGCAGCCCAGGCAGACAGCCGGAAGGCTGCGTCAGAATCCTCTGATGGCTGCGAGTCGGCGATCGCACGCTAGCCAGGCGCATCCGCCAGCGGAGTTCACCGCTCGACAGTTGGGGCAAAACCTCCGTGTGTCCGGGGAGTCGGTCCTCGACATCCGCGATTGTCACGATAACCCCGCCCACCGTCTCCCGACGTCGAGGCTGCCCCGACGGGTTAACTGGGGCCAGCTGAAGCATCGGTTCCGAGCACCAGAGCTAATTTCACGAGTGGAAAAAGCCAGAATCGGCGCTAACCTGGCCACTGGCCCAGAACTGGCGCGAAAGGGCCATCGGCGTCTCAAACAAAAGAAGTGGCGCCGTCACATGAGAGATGAGCCCACTGATCTTCGGCTCGTTTGATGAAACGAATGCTTTCGCGTGCAAATAGTCGCGCTCTTATTGGAACTCTTCACGGCAAGTCTGTTTCCTGTCACAGAAAGTGAGTGCGTTGAATGTTCAGAACGAATGGCGTACGATCGCGACGGTGGCGGCTCTGCCTCAATTTGCGACGGGAGAAGTTTGGAATGTTGAACTTGCAAAGGTGGAGGAGCCCCGTTTGCAGTGCGTCGACTAGCTCTGCGGTGAGACAACAAAGCTGTTGACAAAGTGGAGAAGTCCGCTGGGTGATTTCCTCCCCCCTGCCCTTGCAGATTTGAATCCAAACTACGAAGGCCCGATTTGTCTCCTCTTCTCGTGCTGTTCTCCCTCTTTTTTTTTTTTTTTTGTTCTCCCTGTCTTTTGGTAGGGCAAAATGAGCGCAACTTATTGAAAGCAACATCAGAGACGCTGAAGTCAGGGAAAGGTTTTGCCTCGCTCGCTCGCTCTTTTGCTCGACTTGTCGTTTGTCACACTTCCTCAACCGCTTTCGGTCATTCCCCAATCGTGAGCGCCACCGCTGGCAACTCTTGAAACGAAGGATTTTCTTCCCTCATTGATCTTGCCGAGTCCTGCGAAACGGCCAACGGGAGAATCTGGAAAGCGGCGGCCAGCCGAAGCGCCTCGGATCGCGGGGCCCTTGCGAGGGCCGTCGGTGCACGATGCCGAGTTGTGAACTGCCGTCGCTGTCGAGAGGAAGTGGGGGAGGAGAAAACCGCAGATGGCGTGAAGTCAAATGAGCGCAAAATGTTTTGGGGTTATTTTTTTTTCTCACGCGGATGCAAACAGGCAGCAGAAAGGACGCGTGCTCAGCTCGTCAAGATCAACGGCGTGAATGCGTCAAAGGAAGTTTGCGCGTGGCCGCGGCACAAAAACGTCAAGTCGCACACGATGAGAGGCTGCGCAAATGATCACAGAAGAAAATAAAGAAGGGGGGGGCTTGTACGGATGATGTGGAAATGTGTCGCGATTGGACCCGTTGTTGTTTCAAGTGGACATAAGAAGAGGGAAAATGGACTTTGGAATCGTCGAGCCTCCGGAGGGCCTTGGCGCCCATCCAGGGTGAATTGGTGCAAAATTTCAGGTGGCTTTCTTCATCCCAAAAAAATGCGTCTGGAAGTGACCACTTCCCCCCCCCCCAGTTGAACGTATTGACTTGGCGGCTAGGCCGTGCCAACGTCCACTGCTTCCGAGGGACCCCGACAGGCATTCCTTGATGAGTACTTGTCGTCTATGCGGAGGCCCGGTGGCTTCGAATCGACAAGCGGCGAGCGAACGGCGACTCGTCGGACTCCGTTTTGACCGTGTCGGTCAGCATCGGAGCTCCCAAGGGGTCAGCGGAGGCTCGGGGATATCGGCCCCGCGCTTCGTCGTTGACGTCAACGGCCATTGTCGTCCTCAGCGGCAGCGAGGAGATTTTTCCATTCCCACGGAAGTTTCCACAACATCCGGGAGGGAGGAAAGAAGCCGCCGGGTTCTCATGGGAGAGGCTCGCTGCGGGTCACGCCGATGAGAATGTATTTGTTTTGGAGGATTTTAGAAATGTTTCAAATCCACATCGATGGCACATTGCCAGTTTGGGGGGGGGGGTCTCGAAAATCCGATTCCTTCTCCATCCCCCTCAAATCAGCCGCCAGGGAAAGGAAAGCGTAGCAGCGATGAGCGACGGCGAACCATCGCCGAAGCCCGAAGCGCACTTTGGAAATGGCCGACTGCCGTGAAGGAGGCGCCCGTGTGCGAACGCGCGCCACTCGAGTCCCTCGCAGGCGCTGCCGCGTGCCCGCCGCGCTGACGTCGCAGCACTTGCATAACCGCTGTGATGTCATTCGGCCGATCTCCTTGGCCTGCTTTTTTTTTTCCCTGCGTTTTAATCCGCGAGGTCAACACCGCCGTTGGACCTCAAGCAGATGGTCGCCACGGCAAACGCTTGGAGTGGATGAGAACCGAAGGGCCGCGGTGGCCGTTGCTTTCTTTGCATCGCCATCAATTTGCAAGAAATAAGGACAAACAAACAGCCCGCCCCCCCCCAAAAAAAAAAAAAGTCAGCAAATGCCCAACTTTTGGGTGTTCGCTGTCACTCTGTTGCCTCAGACCTTCACCTGCCAAAACGGACAGTGATCAGATTACCCTTTCAATCTGTTTGCTCCGATTGTGGAAATCCAAAAACGCGGCGCTCCAAAGTGCAAGAGAAAATGTTCACCCGGCTGAGTGCTTCGGTACCAGAAAAGACTCCGAAGGGCAATTTATTTGCCGAAAGATCAACAAGAAGAACGCACGAGGGTCTCGGTATGCTCCTCGGTTCGGCCCGGATCCGCGTTGTCGTCCGTTTGGAATCGCCGTCGAGCCAATTCGCTGGCACGCCCAGTGTCCTTCGTGTTGCTCTTTGAGGTGTTGATTCCCGACTTTCTACTCCAGGACCCGAAACCTCTCGGGCGGTTCTCCCCGGCCGCGACACGCCAAGAAGATCCACTTCATCAAAAACATGAAGCAGTACGACACGAGAGGCAGCAGGTGAGACAAAACCGCCCGGCGCGCCGTCGGCGGTCTTTTTGTTGATCGCGTGGCCGCGGCGCAACCAGAAAGGGCGCTACGAGGCGCACGTTTGCTCGGAGGGGAACCGGAGGACATCTCGGCCCCGTTTAAAAGCGGCGCCGCGACCGTAAGCGGGAGCTTTTTGGGTTTTTGGAAACGCAACCGAGACGAGGCCGCGCTCGGGTGTCGGCCAATGCCGGGCGAGTGCCGGCTGCCAAAATGCCCGCAGCTCATGTTCGCGCCTCTCCGACCGTGGACGTTCTGTCGACGCTTTGAACTTGGCCTTTCCTGCCTGCCGCTTGCAGAACCATTTGGGCTGACCTTTCGAGATCCACAAAAGATGGGCTTCTCCGACACCCAATCAGGAAATCGAGTTTTTCGTTTTTTTGTAACCTGCAGTCAAATATAGCCTGGTTTCTCCAATAAGCTGGGAACGTTTTTTTTGGGGGGGGGGCGGGGGGTCACAAGTCAAGCAGAAGGAATGTTTTTAGCTTGAGTGAAACCGTCTGAACTGCGGTTCCCAGCTATAAAAGAGCAAAAACAAAATTGAGGGAGGAATGCCTTTTTCGTCGCGTCCTTAGCGAGAGTGCGCGCAACTCACTCGGACTCACCGGACGCCATGTCAGTCATGAGCTCGTTTTGTTTTTGTTTGGTGGCCCCTCACATGACGACGACGGATACTATTCGCGTTCGTGCTCCTTTTGAAAGGCCGAAATTTGTCCAACTTTCAACTTGTTGCCATTCACTCCCTCGTCCTCTGTCACGTGTACTCCAAATCCGGGCTGATGTCAAATGTAATCGTGGCACTCGGCTGCCGTCTCCCGCTGCCCGTCTGCCGGTGCCATCTTGAAATTCACACATTAGCCGTGTCGGAAAACCGTAATTGACGTGCCTCGACGCTTTTGCGGCGCCGGAAATGAGTTCACGAAAGACAATCGAATCCCCGCCATTGGTGTGGAATCGTTTGTCTTGGAGAAAAAACGAAGACCCCCCACCCCCAAAATGTCATTCTGCTGCACAGGAAATGTTGTCGAGGCAGAGGCAAGAAATCGATGTCGGCTGTCTTGCCGCGATCTCGCGTTTGAAGCGCTTTCCAAGACGGCGCTTTGTGCTTTTTTTTTTCTTTTTTTTTCTCCCTTGTGATTGCGTTGTGCGCTCTTGTGTTCTATTCTCGCACTTCCTTGCAGACGGACCGAATCCGACGTGCGGGTCAGGGGAGGAAGGAGCGCGAGCCGCGGCGTCGTCATAGACTCGCGGCGGATTGTTCCAAAATAGATCGTCGCCGTTGCTGTTTGTAGATCACTTGTCACGATGTCATCGCGCAGAAATGAAAAGAAAAGAAAAGATCGTGCGCACGTGAAGTGGCGAAAGAAAATGCTCCGCTGGGCCTCAAACGACGAGCTCTGCCCGAGGCTCCGTCTTGACCGCAAGAGTTGGACAAAGAACGGCCGCGCTGCGTAGTCCCGACGTGTCTCCTTGTAGCCCCGGGAGGGAAAGTACGTCGCGACGCCAGCTACCTCTGCTGGGACCAAAATGTCTTCCGACACGTTCCAATGAGATCAAATGGCCACCGACGGCCCGCTCTTGACTTTCCGGGGCGCTCTTTGACGCGTGCGGAGCCGCTGGAACGAGATTGGCAACTGTGCCTTTTGTTGTTTTCAGGATCGTGTTGATCTGCGCCAAAAGATCCCTGTGCGCCGCCTTTTCCGTTCTGCCGTATGGAGAAAGCTTTTACCTCAGGTAGGCGCACGCACGCACATGCGCACACGTCACCTTTCACTTTTGGCAAAGCTCAAGACATTCGTGTTCACTCTGAGTGAGAACCGGACTTGCGAACTCAAAAACAGCACCCACAAGGGCCCAAACGACAAAAACAATCGCGTGCAGAAATCAAAGGGCCCGATGAGGCCGTCGGCGTCAAG